GGTTGTATAGATTAGTTGGTGGTAGAGCATCACGGTGTTTTTCTTTTTGTTTTCTTTCTCTAGAAGGTCCAATTTCACCGGATGCTCCAGGTGCCCCGAAAAACAGGGCCTTACCCGGTCAAATCACAAGTACTTTTCCAAGTCATTTTCTTCTTCTACAGCCGCCGCCGCCGCCATTGACGCACCACGATCTTTGGGGCTTGGCCAGCTGGAGGGAAACGGCTGGCGGCGCCAGGCAAAAGGGAAAAATAATTTAAAAATTTCCAAAAAAAAAAAAAAAAAGCCCATGTCGGTTCATATCTTTTTTTATCAGCGCATGGCGGTGCCAGGCAAAAGAGGAGAAGTTCGTAAAAAAACATGCGTCCGTGACTCCGTGCCCATTCTTTTTTTATTACTTTTGATATTTTTGATCAGTGCAGTGCGGTTTTTAATATTTGTGATCAGTGCAGTGCAGAAATCCGCGTTGGGAGAAAAGAGGCTTGGAGCTACTGGTGGTTTTGTGATAATGGTTCCAAATTTAAAATGAGAAAATTCCATGTTTACAGAGTTGGGGCTTTTATCCCAATAGCTGCAGGTTCAAATCTCTTCTTCTTCTTCTTCTTCTTCTTCTTTTTTTTTTTTTTTTTTTTTTTTTTTTTTTTGAAAACAACCCGCTCTTTGTTACTGCTGATGATTTGAGCGAGTTGGGTGCTTTTTTTCCCCACAACTCTTCTTCTTCTGGGCCTATCTACCTTCTCCCTCACTCCATGAGTGCATCGGATCCTCCCATTCTCGATGGTTCATCTCACCTGAAATGATGAATTCCCATTCTTTTCAAGCTAGGTGCTGATGCCAACAGCTGTATAATCACCAAAAAGCTATTGAAACCGAATTTAGACTGAAATGCAGCCTTATTCATACATACATAACGCGACAACATTCCCAACTTACCTGAGTTTTGGCGTCCATACAAAACGATGCATTCCTAATATAGCATGCAGGACATTATGCCATTTCCGCTTTTCATCATCATAGACTTTCAGGTGGGACCTCTGAAATGTCAAACAGGTGTCATAGGTGGTTGGTCTCCAACGGTGAGACTCATGGGAGATGGGTGCTCCCTCAAAGATGTCCCTCTTGAAGAGTATGCAGACTGTGACAGAAGCACAATGAAAAACGACCTAGTACCAGCTTAATGGCTGTGTTTTTTTTTTTTTTTTTTTTTTGCTGTGTTAAAGTTGTACTTTATGAAAAAAAAGTCAAAAAAACACGAAAGAGCACCACCATGGTTTCAGGTTCACACAAAGAAATCCCATCTTAATAACCGTACACGACTGCTGGAGGCCAACTGCTGCAGCCAGAAACACTTGGCAGGAAAGGAGGAGCATAAAACACAAAGGAAAAATAAGTCAATGCCCTGTGGCAGACATCTTACCGTGTCTCCAGGCAAGAAAGTCTCTCTCCCTTCTCCTCTCATTCTCTCTTCAACACACCCACATGCCCGATAGCACAGAAGTGAGAAGAAAGAATGAGCTGTGTTCATAGAAGAGGAGCTATGACCATGTCTATATGCGAGCAATTTCACAAGAGTTTCGCAACATTTCGGAGGCTCACCATGAGCTTAACAGGCTGGACTGTTTGCCGCCAAATCGTCCGTCTTGCTCATAGAGAGCTACAGAAGGCTATTACTAGCACACACACACACACACACACACACAAACGTATCAGAAAGAGCAAAGAACAAGAGAGAGAGAGAGAGAGAGAGAGAGAGAGAGAGAGAGAGAGAGAGAGAGAGAGAGAGAGAGAGAGAGAGAGAGAGAGAGAGTTGACTTTGGCGGGAAGTTCTGACTGACATGAAAGAGGAGGGGGTACAGTGCATGGAAGTTTTCGTACGGCACATGATTCCTGCTGGCCAGACATGCAGAACAGATTTCTTTCTTTTGATGACCTTGGGTGCCAACACGTGTACTGCAGGACCTGCAAAGTCTGTGCCTCTGTAAGTTACGAGCGGAGACGAAACTTCGTAGTCACCCAGCTGTACATTGAATCTAACCATCCTCCCTAAAACACGATTGAGACAGTTCATTACTATCCTCAGGATAGCAACTTGTGTAGCTAAATCACCTCCGGGCTCCAGAAGCTTGTACGGAAACTCTCTGCCTACGTAGTGGTTAACATTATGGCCGGCTTCCCATTGGCACTTGCAGTGCAGCCATTACAGTAGTAGAGCGATCAAGAGCTTGCCGTTTGTTCTTCACCAAATCGCATACACTCACAGCTCAAGCACACTGCAGTGATTACGCTCTGCACTATCTATCTAATCGCTAGTGCTCATGTGAATATACAGCTGCTAACAGCTAAGCTGCGGAGGCTCCCGACTGCCTTCACACATCGTAAGTGCACTCGGTTAATACATGCACACCTGACTCTCTGACTCTGAGCCATGTGCACTCGAGAGTCAACGTCCGGGTTCAAAGTACACCTACACGTAACAGACACCGTCCTATTCTCCCTATTCTCCCCACTACACGTCCCCCGTCCCCGCAGTTCATACATACACACCTGACTGTGCGCTGTGTGCAGTCCAGTCGACGCCCAAGGTCAAGCAAGGTACACACCTACGTATAACCTACACCGTCCTATCCTCTCCACTACGCTTCCCCCTCCCTGCATCCCGCTAAGGCCCAATTGCACTCTAAAACCCTTCTTCTCCCTCGCTCCGCCTACCAAACCAACTGCGCCATTGTCATTAAGGAGATGACAGAAGACGACACCACTGCAGCCTGCAACTCTGCAGAGCCTCTGTGCCTTCCCTCGGGAGAGTAAACACCCGCAAGAATGTGAATAGAGGTATTCACGATGTTTCCGAAGATCGGCACCGAATGAACTGCTGCACAATCGACCATACCTGTCCTCGGAGATTGCCAACGTCAACTGACAGTGCTTGATTGAAAACGTGCACCCACACCAGGCATACATCACTCGCTCCTAGAACCAAGCAGTAGAGCTCAACAAGGGCCCCGAGACTCACACAACACCCACTTCGCTCAGCACCCACTTCGCTGCTGAAAGCATAAACACACTGGCGTCGACGATGCCTAAAGATCAGCAGCTTCCGATGTTAATACTCGGCCATCGCCGCTCTGACCGTCTGTGCAGTTTGCACACATGCCGCACCGTCAAACTACCCTACCTCGTGGGGTCGGCAAGATGGAGGTGCCACTGCATAACGATGCGACAAACACAAAACAGGGGTCGTTATGTACAAGACCAGACCGAGCACATCCTCCGTCTGCCAGGTTCACTTTTCCCCTCCTCTCGTCCTTGCTCTGATTCAGGTCGGCGTCCGATATCGACGAATGCTTTGCAGGCTTGGAGAGAGAAAGAGGTACTCCCAGAGGGATAGGTGCCGCTGTTGCTGAGTCAGATTGCGTGTGGAGAGTCGTAGAGACCATTCCTGGACCTACCACCAAGTTGGGGAGCGGTGGGTGGGTACTTTGTGCTCCATCATGTGCCTGTCACCGCTTGTGTGTGGGTAGCAGCCTCAGCCTCTTTCTTGATGCATGTGCCGTTGCCGTTCTTGAGGCAGTTTGCTGCTTCGGGGTCCTCAGCCAAATCGTTACGCCAGTCCGGGGTGAAATCGGTCAGTAGCGGTTGGTGGAGGTCTTCGTCATCATCTGCCCGTGGGTTCATTGACGAAACCCGCATCCTGTACCGTGGCCTTCGGCTATTCTCTAGCGCTTTTACAATGTATGCACTCCCATCGCGGTACACGATGGCTGGGCTGTTGGTGCCACCATTACTGTTGTCCGCAGCGCCAGTGCCGTCACCGTGGTTGGATTCAGAGGGCGTAATTTCCACAGTCGGCGTGGAAGGGCCGCTGTCACGGATCATGTTGATCGTATGTGAGAGCTGTCTAATCAGGAGAGGTGCAATCAACCTGGGTGATGCCGTCATGCTTCCCACGCCATCAAGATACGGCTTCGCTATTTTCACACGTAGCTTGGGCCAAACTGACTCGTTATTTGCTGCAGTTTCCTCGACTCGAGGACCACAGGGCTTTTCAGCATCTTCTGGTAGTGGGCTCCTGTAAGGTAGACATGATACCAAAAAGGAGGAGAGAGGGGGGGGGGGAGAGAAGAACAGAACGATCCACAACAGAGTTGCACCATGCTCAAAGTCAATGTCAGAAGGGTGGATGGTATTACAAAAACTTGAAAAAAAAAAGAAAAAAAAAAAAAAAAAAAAAAAAAAAAAAAAAAAAAAAAAAAAAAAAAAAAAAAAAAAAAAAAAAAAGGAAGACAAAACAAACTTCAGGAAAGGAATTCAACCAAGCACCCTGCAGAGTTCTCGCTTTAGAGTCGTTAAAAAAAAAAAAAAAAAACATACTTCCACACAACAATCTGTTCACAACTTCACAGTAATGACATCAGTAGGCAGGTCTATACTGATTATACGACCACGGAAATCAAATCTAGGGTTTCCACAGGTGTACCTGCAGAGTCGTCCCAAAAAAACATACTTCCACACAACAATCTGTTCACACAACTTCACAGTTATGACAACAGTAGGCAGCAGCTAAGTAAATCTGCACATCTAGCTCCCCAACGGCTGAGGTTACAGGATGGCACTACTACCCATCCCAGCATGAGCCCGACGTCCTCCACCGTGCAAGCACGGATTCGAACCGGCGACTTCGGTCTCAAGAGCCAGGTATCTTAACCACTACAGCCAGGACACAATGTTCAAAAGTGGAACCATACCCGTCGTGATATCCACCCCACCCCTGCAAGGCCCTAGTGTCCAACTCAACACACACCACACACAACACCACACCACACCACACACACATGGCAATTCTCGTACACCTCGCTCTCACCATTCAGCACAAATCCGCACACCGACATGGCAATTCTCGTACACCTCGCTCTCACCATTCAGCACAAATCCGCCATGGTAAATCCTCTAACCAAGCACCCGTTAACCGCCGGGTGATGTGGCCCGTGTAGGTGGACGGGAGGCAGTATCAGTAGGCAGGTCCGTACGACCATGACAATCTCGCATTCGTGATTCATCTTTAGGTGCTCGGGTTTATAATTCCATCTTTAGGACCAAGCGGATCGTAATTCAGGTTCGCGATTCATCATGGCAGGTTTATACGACCAGGAAAAATCTCGGCTTTGTAATTCATCTTTAGGTACTCAACCCTTTGGCACCAGATAGTGGACGTTATGTCGAGTAGTCGAACCCCCAAGCGGTCGATGCACCCAGTGCATTTACAGGAAGCAGGGAGTAGTCCTCCTTTCGTCATGCCACCAACTGGCCCAGCTCAGTTGGCAGTACTTGGTACACCCTTTCACTGTTGAAATACAGATCCGGGCTCGAACTCCACTGGAAAAGCAGACGGAAAAAAAAAAAGAAACTCCTTTGCCCCTGGCACGCCAGAGAGTAGCCTATCCTTGTTGAGATAATGTCCGTACCACGGCCTTGAAGTGAAAACACGTCTTCAGTTGACATTAGTAAAGGTTTTTCAATGTCTCTTTTAGGGGTAGGAATACAAGAGTCAACTGCATCCATTAACTCATAGATTTTATTGACCCACTTTTTTTTTTTTTTTTTTTTTTTTTTTAATTTTWTTTCCAATCTCGCCTCTCAAGATATTCGGTTTTTCGGTTAAAGCCTGTAGAGCCATTAAAGCAGATCCTGAAACAACTGGTACTTCGTCTCCACGAAATTCGCAATTCATGAGCGACTCAGTCGGGACGAGGAAGAAGACCGCCATAGATGTCGGCAGTTGTTGAGACTTGAGAGGGAGTTCCGTGGAGAAGTCTCTGAACAAAAAAAAAAAGAAAAAAAAAAAAAAAAGAGGAGGATCGATCTTACTACTGGAGATGTCACAGACTTGTTCTACCCTGTGGGACGCTGGCACTGTGGGAGGGGAACCAAAAGTGAGCACCCAGTAGTGACACTGCACTTTGTCATGACCGTGGACTGTAGCGAATTGTTCACGGACGTAGCAGGAGAGGTAGAGGATAGAGATGAGTGAGTAGGGGCATGGGAGGGTTTGGAGATCAGACCTTGTTGGAGTCATCATCATTTGTCTTCGACTCTTCGTGTTATATCATCCATTTACTCGCTGCCGTTGATTCAATTTCTGCCCAAATCTCTCCTCTATGTATTGCAGTAAACAGAAGTGACGAGCATTGGGCAAGATTCGGTTTCTATTTACGTATGCTTACACAGTGGCTTAGACAGTTACCTGAGCAGGAGGCAGAAGGGTATCTACGCCCCTCTGTTGAATCGTATGCCATGGACCATGTACGTTTACTGCAAGAGTAAAGCCTCACAGATTTGGCTCAGAACTTCAGATGGCTGTAATCATCTCTTCTTATGTATTCCAGTGATGAGAACTGAGTCCGAGTTTCACAGCCATGCAAGGCTGGCAAAGGCCAGGAGCCTCGCTGTTTCGTTTGCTTTGAGATCAGAGGTCAACCACACTGCGAGGCTCCTGGCCTTTGCGGCGCCGTGCAGAGGCCGGTGACAAAAAATGCGCCCCGTCGCCAAGCGAAGGCCGGGCAGGGAAATGTTGCCACGCCTCGGGGGAGGCTGGCGTTGGTGTGAGGTAGCTGGAGAATGCTGGGTGCAGTCCTTGCAAGTTCCAACTAACCGGTAGGCGCAGGTCTCTTGGTTATTGAACAAAGCAGCTGAGGCCCAGGTACCCAGTCTGAGAACTGCTCAGAGAATTCCCAAACAGGGATGCTGCCAGTACCAGCCAGGCTGCTGTGGCCTCCAGAAAAAAACAGGAGGGAGGGAGGACACAGCATTCCACAAATTTGGAGGCACTGGCTTCCAGCACCAGCATTGCACAAGCGCACGCGGCCAGACCCCTGAGCTTTGGTGGAGGAGGGAGGAGCAGCCATGGTCAGCTGCTCCTGCTTTGTGGCAGTCATAGCTGCGACAAGGCAGGAAGTAGGGGTGCAGGTGCTGGGCTGATCAGGTGACAGTGCACAGTGGTGGGAAGAGGGGGTCTTACCTGGCAATTGCTGTTAAGCACAATTCGGGTGGTCAGCCTCTGTAGCATTGTCAGGCCAGAGGGAAGAGGACACACACATACACATAGAACAGAGAGAGAGAGAGAGAGA